GTTTAGGTTAAAAGTTATAACAGCTTCGGATATAACCTTCACACCCATTGGGTTGCCTGATTCGGGACTGCTACCGTTAGGTCAATGACAGTCAAAACATCTACAGATTATATATGGGTAGGGCTAACTATGATGCGTGTAGGTATACAAACAATTCAACAGACAACATCGTTTAATTGCGGACCAGGACCGCAAAGTCGATGAGTTTATTTTGTTTGTTAACTAAACATTTTTTTACGATATCCCCATTCCTACCTCATTACGTATGTATGTATAACGATTTTATATGTATTTGTGTGTAAATAGTCATATTAACAAATTAAATAAGTCAATAGGTAGTTTTTTAAGGTATTAATAAGTCAACTGGTTTGTAATAATGATAATTAAATATTTTATTTTTTTATGCACCAAATTTTTGTTCGCACAATATTAGTTTCGTAAGTTACTGCTACTATCTACCAAATGAAACACATTGTTAAATTTACTGTTTTGTTTATTGAAACATCCAGAAGTTATACATCTGATGGTAAATTCTTTGATACGTTGGGCAGATCATTTTTCTTATCCAGTAATTCCACCAGCTCCACCGACGCCACCTCCTAACTTGAAAGAGATGGAATGATGAAGCAATTTATTCGTAATATGGCATTGTTCGTAAACGATACGTGATATAGTGCATAATGAGCGATGCATATGTATGATACGTCTTGGTTAACTTTGGTCAATTTTAAATTAAATTGTACGGCAAAATAGCTTAAGTCAAGAATTCAAGACTTAAAGACAACGACAAGAGCTTAGTTCAATTACTTGAAAATAATGATTACAGCTGTCATTAGCATAAGATGTAGAAGACGACCATACTTGATTAAAGACACAAAAAAAAAAAATTTAATTTTTCCTCTAAAGATATATTTAAAAATTAAGTTGCTGTAGAAAAGTAAACGAAATTTTACATTGTTACAAACTTATTGAGGTGAGCATTACTTCAATAAAAAACATGTGCTCGGGCAAAGCGGGTGGGGCAAAGCGGGTTGCTTAGCAGGTATTAGATTTGCAATGATATTATTTGTTACTTATTTTTTGAATTTATCTTAGACAGTGAGTAAATGTGAGTAGGAAACAGAGCGATTTATGTAACAAATAATACATTTGCTTTAGAAATTTTTATAATATTGTTTACTGTTTTTAAGTTTTCGAGTTACCGATTGAGTAGTTATTTAAAGCCAAGTATAGCTATATTTTTATAAGCAAGTCTCTTAAACTATTGAAGAGTAATTTAGTTAGACTAATATTACCATATAAATAATTAATCAAAACATATTTCTATTCAGTGTAGTACATTTTCGCTTTGCCCAAACGGATAACCCGCTATAGCCCCCCCCCCCTTTGCCCCTAAGGAAAAACGGTTTTTCCAGGATCTCTTTATTTTTAATAATAGATCAGAAATTAATAGACAATAACCCAATATTGCTTATTTATTTCACAGTTTTATGTGCCCTCCATCTAAAAAAAAAAATAGCATTGATCATTATCATTATACAAATACTAAATTTTCTGGGCTTTAACCGTTAACTAACCCGCTTTAGGCCACCATTCCCTACTCACAGCGTGTCAGTCAAAATAAACTGTACAACTGAAATATAGATGGTCCTTCTTTACGTTATCAACAATATGTTAACTTTAAAAATCAGAACTATGACCGCGATTCTACAAACACAACGGAAGGATAAGCTACTACTGATAAAAAAAAAAAATTACCACAGCTAGCCCCCATTCAGCAACATATTCTTGAAACAACCATTAAGCTTTTCCTTCAATGCCCACGCCATTTATAACTCGAAACGAGAATCTATCTAACGACTGTACGGGAGAAAAAAAAGAAGCGAAAACATATCGAAGTACAGCAACTTCACGTATACAAAGCTTCGTGTAAAGCAAGAAAGTACTTGTGGACGAAAGAAGAAGGCTCCGCTCCCGAGTCGAGTGTCCAGGGTCTAATTTGCCGGGGGGCGCACTTGGGGCACGTACAGAGGCTGATAGGAAAGGCGGACCGTTACTTCTAATAGGAGATTTTCAAAAGTTGCATTCGGCCGAGGCCTCGTTACGCAGCTGGTAATTGTAAGACGGAGGCATCGAGGAAAACGAAATTGAGCTGCTATACTGTTGGGAGGGGGGGGGTGGCCCGTAATGGAGATGGGTATTGTTGAGGGGCTACCACTGCTGCTTGTGGGGTGTTATAGTTGGTGCGATGTGGGTATCGGTCGAGGGAAATCGTTTTATATTGAAGCAATGTTTTTTTCCCTCGACTCGTTCGTGGTCGTTGTAACGGGTGGCAACAATGCAATTGTTAGTTCTTTTTACACGCTCTGTCAAAGCTTATATTAGATGCATAATACAAAAAAAAAAAAAAAAAACCAACTAATAAGTCCAGTACGTATACAGTAGTACGGGATCGAGGGAGTGCGTTTGGAGTAGAAGAGAAGAGGAAACGCGGGGGATTATAAGAATCAGGAAAGTACGTACGCCCAAAGAATCTCCTGCACAGTAAGGCTCTGATTGGAGCCAGGGAAGATCGTCGTTTCCAAGTCCGTAAGACGGAAATAAGAAAAATCAAGAAGTAGAAGAAGAAAAAGAGTAAGTCGCATTGAGGCGTCCGGCGAAACGCTATCAGCGGGAGATCACGCTAATCTAACACTTCTCGCCTTTCCCCTCGAGCCTTGACACTTTTTCTAACGATTTGCCGAGCTCTTCCCCTTGGTCCCTCTCCTTTTCGCTAATGCGGCTTTTATATCTTCGGGCAATCCTGTATAGCTTTCTTTTCCTTTCCTTCGTTACGCGCTCGCATGCACGTACCGACATGTTCGCATGAGGAGACTATTCCTATCGCGGTAATTATCCGATAAACGCTAAGACGGAGCTTTACTATGTAAGAAGTACGTGAGAAGTACATTTGCCTATCTGTATACACGGGGTTGTGCAAAATTGCGCGCATCTTCTACTTTTCGTATTAGACTCAAAGACTTTGACATCACAGCTCGGCTCTTTTTGATCACCGGTGTGGTACGAGATCTTTGTCTGTATAGTTCAAGGATGATGGTACGAGGGAGATAGTATTTTCGATTTAGTTTATTCTTTTGCTCGTGTGCGTGGGGGTTCCTTGAAAGAGCTGAGATGAGTTTCTCTGTTCTGTTCTGCCGGCTCGTCTAATTTAAAGCCAATAATGTGAGGGAGAATCTTGGGAATCGACTCTGAAATTGCTTTGGTGGAATGAAATTAAGTGAACACAAGTGTGTGCGCGAGTGTATGCATAGACACAGAGAAGTATCTTCGATAGGGATGCGAGTATGTGTATGAATTAGAATAGAGACATTTCGTATGATAATTTAAATGAGGATTCTTCTTTGATAATATTTCAAGTTGTACTTCTGTAGCCGTGTTCTGCGCTACGGAATAAACCAACAATTCCACATGCGTGACTTTGAGAAAATGTGTTACGGAAGTGAGTTTTTGCATCTTACTTTCCCGCTGCTGCACCGCACACTTGTAAGATCACTACACTAACTACCTTCTGTAGCACCACCAAAGTGCACAATCCAAGAAAGAAAACTTTGATTTTTATTGAATTGTATTTCTTCATTCTTTCCGCAATTCTCCTAAAAAAAAAAAAAAAAAAAAACACTTTCTACTAGAAGCGGACATAAATAAATGTTTATTTACTGTTATAAATTATACGCTAGTAATAAAATTATTTGTTTCATTGAATAATTTTTTTTTTTTTAACTTTGCAAACTTTTTTTCGTAACAACTATTCTATATAATATTGAATGCTTATCTAATTTGTTCAAGGTTATCATCTTTTTTCATTATTGGTTCATTCATACAAGATTGTATGGATAAATTGTAACATTTTCATGGCGTCTTATTTACTCTTTCAAATTTTATCATTCGTGAAAAAAAGTAATTTTAAAGCTACATTTACTGGCATTTAGTAGTATCCTATTAAAGATAAAGCGGTACTACAGTTAATTATTCTTTATTAAAATCAAAGGTTTACATACTTCTTACTTTGTTTATCACAAGCCAATCATGTCGTTTTTAGAATATAATCCAAATGATATTTCTAATGACGATGTTTAAAGCCGTGCAGAGTCAACGTAAATTGTTTTCATACATCTTTATTTTTGAATTTACAATCATTAATAATGTAAACATTATCATTGTGTTTGTAACATATTTTATTTATAATATATTAATCATCTATTTTATAAAATATAAGATTGAATAAACATTTGTTAATAAAACTGGTTTTTTAACATTTTCCAAGCCTTCTTTTAAATAAATATTGTGAGTGTCATATACGCGTACAATTGTAAGAATGTGTCAGCGTACGTAGCAGATGCGAGCGCGATGTTCGAGATTTCATCAGAGAGTATAGGCATAAGTTTTGAAATAATCGAAAGTTTCGATGAAAGCAGGTACTCTCATACTAGCCAGTCTGGCAGAACATCATGCCATAGCTATACTCTACTTTTTTCTTATCTAATACGTAATATATTCTTTATTGTTGTTTGTTTTTGTTTATTTGTTGAATGTAAACATATTTATTGGAACCACACTAAATTGACGTACATATACTCATTCCAACGATAATTTCACATTCTTCATACACAATATTGTTTCGTAGAAGGTATGTTTATATTACCTATTGTCTGCCATAGAATGTCATAGAAGTATAACTTGATTCTTGGATACCCAGTTATCCCTGTCCACTGGTTTTTTATATAATATATAATACTTTGCAAGTTCTTCTAGTGTTTTTAAAAAAATCGAAAATAATTGTAACAACATTTATTTAATTACTAACAAAAACAAGACGTATTTTTCGAACAGAAACACGAGTTTTTTCGTAAGAAAATTGATTTGTGCATAACCATCCTTAAGTTAAAAAAAGCATTATGTGGTTTCTAAGCTTTCTTATAGACTTGATGCAGTAAATTTACCATGGTATACGACATTTTGAGAATCTAAAATATAAAATCATACATAGTTAGATGATTGATAAAGGAATGGTATAAAATTGTGAAAAAACCTTTAATACAACAAGAGTGCATTCGTTAGGCAATGGACACAGTATCAAAGACATAATAACTAAGCTCTAACAATAACAATGTCGTGTTAAACTTTTTAAAAGCAAAAATAATGCACTCTAGTTTCATAAAAATTATTAGTTATGTGATCTACCCATAAAAATGTGTCCAAATTGAGTGCACACAGTCCATGGCAAGAAACACTTCGGCCTTTTTGATTGCAAATCATTAAAATTAACAAAGATTTCCTTTCACGTGGATCCACTGACATCCAATCACTTTCGTAGATCCTGTTAGAAACTTCCTGGCTCTGTTTTAAGACAATCATACAACAACAACACATGACATTTTTTTTATCGATTCAAAGAAACAAACCAAAAACGTACCATCAACGTCAGTTGATTGCCAAACCAACAATAGATAAAAACTTGCTGCAAACTGCTTAAGAAGAAAACCCAAATCCAAGCGAAATCAAAGCTAAAAAGGTTGTACTAGGGACAAGATAGTTAAATAATTGCAAAGAAACACAATTTTTTTAATTGCAAAATAAAATTTTCTTACCTTTGTAGCTTCGAATATGCTTATGCAAATAATTCCCATGCCAAAAAAAAAAAATGGTATGACAACTCCGATGACGAGGGACTCAACTTTTTTTGTCACTCCTCGAATCAAGACGTTATGGACGACGCAGCCCTTCAGGCAACGCACATCGCCACATTTTAATTTCTTCAATCTGTAGGCATTTAATTCCAACTGTCCACTTATGACCATAAATAGTCCAACAGACATTGTGTCAAGAGAAACGTGGATTATAACAGAATAGAGAGATGCTATTAAATAAAAACACATTGTGGTATAGAAAACTGTTGGGCTTGAAATGTTATAAAATTGGTAAGTTTTAAGAGCTGTGAGTTGGTCGCTCTTTTTTTTAGATCCCAGAGCGTTGAAAAAGAGTAAGACGGTGCATACAGAGAACGACATGAGAAAAACGAAAAGCCACTTTGAAGTTTTAGCGTATTTCGCCAGTATCTTTGCCTCCACGGCATTGTCGGCTTTGCAGTGTGGAACCTTCATTTTCCTGATGATTTCAATCACGTTGTCCCGCTGGTATAAGAAATTGATGATCTTCAAGCACAGTGATATGAACTTTAGAGCCAAAAAGAGAGACTCGGTGGGACCCTTTATGTCACTGTCCCTGATAACAACTTTAGCACACAATGTAAAGGTAAAATAGAAAACAGCTGCTACTACAATGAAGTGGTACACTTTTTTCGCGAATCCGAAGCTTTCGTTTTCCTCGTACCAGAGACCAGAAAGTCGCAAAGAGTAAAAATTCAGCGGCAGCACGTCCATTTCGACCCAAAGTTTTCGTCTCAATGGACGTCTCAGTTTTCAGGACTACGACTGCGTTGGGTGAAAGTGATAATTAAATGTTTCAATGAAAATTTTAAGTCTAATTGTTATTTGTACGTCGAGCAGCTCATATATTTTGATGAATGAAGCCCTGATCGATGATCGGGAAAAACTGGCATTAAAAACGGAAATAAAGCTAGTGCGTGACTTTCTGTCTCTGGGATTGTTCAGACATTATCGCTTTTCGAACCATCAGCTCTATTGAATACGAATGACTTAATTTTACTTGAACACGCCAAGTATGTATTAATTATGGTATTTGCACCTAATGAAATAAGAGCCGGAGTTGATACTTATGAAGTATGTTCAATTAAAATAATAATTAAATTATGAACATGCTGTTGACGCTGTAAAAATAACAAATTATATGCAACTCCATGAAAAAAAGGCTACAGGGTTACACTCCCCATCATATCTAAGAGAGAAAAAACTATCAACCTTGTGAAATTTGATGTTGTTAAAAAGAAATTATATTGTCTGCCATATCATTTCATAGAAGTATAATCTCATACTTAGGTATCCAAGTATCCAATGCATTCTATCACCCAATACGAATGAGATAATTTCTTGATAAATGTGCTATCTTGTTAACATTGATTTTTCTTTTAATTGATTATCTCTCTTTCTTTGTTGTTTATTTAATACTTTTCCATTTTCTTTATCCTCTGGTATGTAACTACGTTGCAGTTCTGTCCCGATTTTCTTGATGAAAAATTTTATTAAGCCTAAATTACACAAAAAATAATTTCCCATGATTTCCACGAGAGTCACAGAGATTATCACGCTAATATATAAGCGATCAACAGTTATGTGTATTTGTTTCTAAATAAACTAGAATAGATATTCCCCGATAACCGCACCGTATCCATATTTTCGAATTTCACGCACGATCGACCACAAGACCAAGATGCTTATTCTAGTTAACCAGTAATACCAAGCTCATCGTCCATCCCGAGATATTCAAGCGCTAAATACGTTATCCGCTTAATGCGGCGGGATAAGAGGGTCGAAGGGAGCCACACCGTAAGTGCGTGGATTTACTCCGTACATTATTGTATAGGTTGCTTTTCTGCTACACGCATAGTAGTTATCCTTTCCAACGCGTCGTGTAGGTACATGTTGTTACGTAACTTACGAACGGACTTGCTCGTGCAACGGAACTGCTGCTTCGAGTTCTCGAGATGCAATTTCGCAATAATTTGAACGGTGGTATTTGTTTATTTTTTTTAATTTAGGTAAATCAAGTGCTTTTTTTTAGAAATAAATCTTTTTTTTATCTACGGGGAGCATCGTTTGTATCATCATCAATCAACATAAAAAAAAAATAAAAAAAAAAAGAGAAAAAAAACGTAACCGTAAATAACAACGTTATCAAATTTTCGAAAAAGCCGTTAAATCAATTAATAGCGAAAAAGGCCGTAACATCGGCTCCGCCCCCTCTTTAATAAAAGTCATTCGATTTTTTTATAATTGCACATTTATTTATATCCCAAAGCGCACGCGCCCGGAGGCGTTTATAGTTACTTTTCATAAATTCTCGTTGATAAAACATGGTGTTTTAAGCCCTCGGTGCAACAGCAAAACGAGCTACGGTTGGGAGTGGGGGGAGTTAATGCGCGGCTTCCCTGCACTTAACAATAAATTTCTAGCTATACAGCAAGTGAAAAACCCCGGGCACCAGCGGTGTAATGCGCCACTACTCGGGTACTATAAATAATATCCTTTTAAACACCAGCATCGAGAGAGAGAGAGAGAGAGAGAGACAGTGGCGTTTATGTCACGAGCATCCGGCTGCTCACGGAGATATGCACTGCGCGAGTGGATGATATCGTGATAATCGACGCTCGATAAATACGTGACCAATAAATTTCGCGGCTGAATATGTACACACTCGCCGCGCGTCCGATAACGCTCGGGGGGAGCGACGATTTACAGTATTTGGCAGTTAGGTGGATGGGCGGGTGTCGTTTTAGAAACCTCTCCCAAGGGGCTTTGGGTGTGATTTGTTTTGATGGCTTGACAAGTAGGTTGCCGGTGATTTTTTTTTTTTTTTTTTTTTTTTTTTTTTTTTTTTTTTTTTTTTTTTNTTTTTTTTTTTTTTTTTTTTTTTTTTTTTTTTTTTTTTTTTTTTTTTTTTTTTTTTCTTCTTGTTTTATGACCTATGCATTTTGGCGAGAAAGAGGGATGCCACGGGTGCGGGCTTTCGGTTCTTTAGGGCCGTTTTGAGAATTCGGGCTATCGGAATTGGATTGAGCCTCGAATCGCTGTGATTTCTGCGGTTGCCGGTGCGTGTGCGTTTGCGCTGGTACGTTTTGGGTATCAAGCTGCTTATCGAGATCGAGCGCGGGACGGCCGAATGGTTTTTGAGTGGCTTTATGGCTGCGCTGCTGCGGCTATTTGGTTTGGTTTGGCGATTGGCTGTGCAGCGCTGTCGTTGTCGTTTCGGCAAATTTTCATAGAGATAGCTTTGCTCCCAAAAGTTATGGCGATTGCCGGAAAATTGGCCTCCGTTTGAATCACGGTCTAGGGCGCATTTATGGGTTAATTGGGCGCTTTGCACTGCGAACCGTTCAAATTAATAATTATTTCGGTATTTTATTTTATTTTTTTTTTTTTAATTAACGTATATATTTTCATGCTTCCCGATTACGCTTTGAGAGGTTTTTTTTCCCTCAATGGATCTCACTTTCTGTGTGATAATTACGTAAACGTTTTGTCTCATTATAATTAATTTATGAATTAAAAAATATGAATGTGACAATAAATTTATCGTTTTACAGTACAAAACTATCACGTGCATTTAGTACAGTGCAATTCAGGAGGTGTCATTTAAAAAATGGCACTTTATACAAAAAACTGAGGAGCTTGCTTATACTTGTCTTACAACATCCCTAATGTATTTTTTATCATAAAAATTATTAAGCTAACGTACATACTCCTTCAGAATGTTTTCAAGTGCTAATTACAAATGCACATTACAATTGGAATTATCGTTAGATAACAGGGTATTTTTACTTTTAGACCAAACAAACATAAATTTATCAAATTTATCAAAATTTCAATCGTCAAGTTAGAATAACAATTAGAATAAAAAGCGATAAAGATACGTTTCCCTTTGGACACGTCATTCCCAAAAAAGTCCACCCAGGATTAAGTAAAACAGGGACATTTTCATCCACACAACCGTGGCCAGTTTCAGTCTGTAAAAATGATCCAAGTTTCCCCAGAAAACGGAGCCTCGGAGACTCATTCCAGTCACACGCTCCATCCCTCGTCTTCCACGCGCAAACCCATACAAACGTATATATAAAACATGAGCGCGTGCCAGCGCCAGTAAGTTTAATGCTTCACTAAGATTACGCACCTTTATGGCACGACATAAATGTTTCTGCGTCTCTTTTCTAGGTTGTCCGAGTGTATTTTTTGTAAGTAATGTCACTTATGGGAATAAGGCGAGAGGCTTTGTGGAAATTATCCGATTTCGGGGCTGATGGTTAAGATTCATTTTATCACTCGCTCGATGCGATTACGCAAATTTGTTGGTGACACCATCCGATGCCTTCAGGGCACGAATATCCAAACGAACGATCTCGTGAAGGGAATCGTCGCATCGCATTACGGCAATATACCTTTTGCACGATGGGGTGTTGAAATATTTCCAAATAGAATTCCCGAGCAGTTGTTTCGGCAAAAAAGCGCAGTCCATTAATTTTACACTCAACAAATTCACCCTGCAATTAGTTGCCGTGAAACATCAAAATCCCCTCTCGGCGTACCTGCACGTTCCTTGGAGAAAAAAAAAAAAAAAAAAAAAATTGCACCTTCCTCTTCATTTCACTCTCCCCCTGTATTTTCTCACGCTCCGCCTTACGTGCACGCGCCTGTAAATGGCGTCCACGGAGTTTTTATCGTCTCTTAAAATATTGTCGTCAACGAGGCTTAATCGCGTAATAAAATGTTTTTGTACCGCCCCCGTCTCTGTGTTTGCCCCCCGGGTTCGCCTTGTATTTCCGCGAGGGCGAGCGCGTTGTCTCGTGACCTCTTCCTCTCTCCGCGAAGATGCGCTCGAGGAAAAATAAATAAATCGCCGTGGCGTCCCGCCAGCTTTTCCGACTATTTGTCTTTTCGCGCGAGCATCCCTTCCTCCTCCACGCGTTTTTTTACTTATCTTCTTCTCATACTTTTTTTTTCTTTTGCTGCATTGCGTATACTCTGCTGGGGAAGGAAAAAAACAAAAAACATTCTCAGTTCCTTTTTTAAAGGCTACGCGCGCCAGCGGCAGATTCCTCTTTACGGTGGATGTAATAAAGTACACGGGAGCTCTGCTCTTGCGAGATAATGATACCTGGATGGTTTTTTCGTTGCCACCGGTTTGTTGTTGGTATGAAAATATTGCTGCAACAAAATCATAATAAAAATACCCACGTTATGTTACTATTGTCGATTGATTTTTAGGTGCTAGAACAATAAAACTTTCTACTGACAAAAAGTCTCGCAGTAAATGGTCATGAATCTTGTCGTGCGCAAACCAAAAATTATCTTGTTATTCGAGGGATTGTTATCAAGGATTTCGGAGAAAGAATTAATTGCTCGTTCGTGTGATTCAACCCATCGATCGTAAGTAATCTTTGAAATTCACGCACAAGAGTGAATAACATTTTTTTTATCGAAATGAGGGGAACTCTCGATCTCCTGTAACATTCAAGCTAAGGTATAGGTGTTTATATACACAAAATTCAATGGAAAGTAAAGCAAGGTAATATAGGAAGTCCACAAAAAATATCTCATTCTTGTCCCCTATTTAAATAAAAATATTTTTTTTGAGGCACACCTTCCAAATAGGTCACATTTTACTCGTAATGCCATGAACTATGAGGAAAAAATTTTGATCAAGGGTTTCAGTGCGAGAGACACCCTTTTCCCGCGATTGACATGTTAAC